GAGAGTCGCTGCACTGGAAGTTGCTCTTTGTGTCTCTTTGCAGGCTGCCTGGCAGTACGAGCTTTTTGCTGTGGTTGCTCATTCGGGATCAACCAGCTTTGGCCATTACTGTGCCTACATTCGGAGCCTCACAGAGTGTAAATGGTATTGCTTCAACGATTCTCACGTTTGCCAGGTGAGCAGATCAAACCACGCTCCTTCTGTGCCTTCCACACCCCTCCAGGTCTCACCCAGCCTGGCTGCTGGCTAAAGAGAACCAGGAAAGGAAACTGAGGCTGCAGAGCTTTGTCCACCTCTGCTGCAGGATGCTCAGGGCTGAGGGCAGGGTGACTCTCACTTCTGTACCAAACAGAGCCTCAAGTTCTCTTTTGTGATTTGCAGAAGCAGCCATTTGCTGAATCCCCTACTCCATGTACCCTACATCTGCTTAATGCATACATTCAGAACTGTTTTTCCTCAAAGAGTAAAAGCAATGACCAATTTTTTGAAAGGTGTTTAGTTCCTGGAAGTGCCACTTATCCCATTCTTATGAGAACTCCTGGGATGGTATCAGAATGTGTCTGTCTCTTAAGAGTTTTTACCAGTCTCCCCTTGTGTGTTTTTCTTCTCTAGGTGTCGTGGGATGATGTTAAATGCACCTATGGACGTTCCAACCTCAACTGGTATGCAAATGTATCCCTGATTTCCCCTAATGCTGCTCTGGACTTTGGAATGAGGGTAGCAAAGAGAGGGAGGATAAATGGTTTGGGCTGCATGTTGCCTGGGGTGTGGTGGGGATGCAGCAGAGGTGTCAGTCAGGATTTCTCCATGGTTTTTGTTTGGATGCATCATTAGAAAATGAGGTCACAGGAGAGAGATAATCTCTGCTATAAACTACAGCACTGCCAGGGAATCTTGGGAACAGTGGAGAGGATCAGCTTAGTTGACCTAAAGCTCAGAAAGCTGAGCAGGAGCAATTCTGGAATGTTTACCTGCAACCTGGATCTTCAAACATACCTTGTGATTTGCTTTCTCTTTGCCTCCACAGGAGAGAAACAGCCTATCTCCTGTTTTACATGAAAAAACACCCTCAGCAGCCCTGTCCAGGAGTATCAGAATGTCTCTGAAAGCTGTGCATTGTCCATGTGCCAGTGTGGACATGTCCAAACTTTTCACAAGGAAGACATTCTGCACTCAGCAACCTCGGTCTTCACATTTCTTCATGGAAAAAAGTGCAGCAGACACTTCAGCTAGAGAAAGGATCTAGGAACTGTTGTAACTAGAGAACACTTATTTCATGACTCTACATGTTCATTTCCTCTGTAAAAGATGGTGAAGTTAGTCCTTGTCTCTGCTGCCTTACCATTTTCCTTCCTGCTCATGCCTGGATTCCAGTCCAGGGGAAGTGTTTGTCCTGAAAGCCTGTGTGATGTTCCAGGGAGGTGTGTGCTTTGGCTGGAGAGCTGTGGGAGTCACACAGAGCTTGAGATTTTCTTTGTCCTTTTAGCACTGTGTTAGCTGGGCAGGACACCCCAAAAATCACCCCAGAAACAGCTGGAGGAAGGATCAGAACCCTTATGACATCACACACTCCTTAAAATCCTCCCTGAAAATGAATCACTGCAGGGGCTGAGATGTGCCAAGAGGTGTTTTAAATCAGGAGCTACTGGAGCAGTTCTGATTTACAGAATGAGTTTCTATACATTTGTGCAGGTGATTATTACTTCAGCAGGGCTATCAGGCTTTTAGATTTTCTTTCCTGTAGAGGAAAATATTCAGAGCAGCAGAGATTCTGGTTAGTGATTTTGCACAATCCAGGCCATACATGGTGGTAAGGGAAGTGGGATGCCTTGATGTGCTTGAACTTTTGGGATTTTACGGTTGTGTGGCTTTTAAAGCACTCATGGTGTTAACTCTCGCTGATCCTCTTGGATTGAGGATCCCAGCAGTTTGAGATCTGGAAGTACCTTCAACGTAACATACTCTATGACTCTATCTTTACAAAGGTGCTGTTTTTGTGGACTGAGCAATTATTAAATTATATTAAAATTATATAAATTATATAGAACTATAAAACTAATGTAGATATACTACCATCTATACATAATTTTATTGTGGCAATGATGATGAAGTTCACAAATCATTTTCTGAAGGTAAACTGAGAAATCTTAGAGCATAGCTGTGAAATTCCTCTTTCACTGTGTGATAGGTATTTATTTCTGTATTAGCAAGGCCCATTATTCTGTTCAGCTCTGTATTTGTATTATTTATTCTGTGGTAAAAAAATCCCAGCGTATTATTTGCCACTAGTGTGAGGAATTTTCAGGCTGTTCACCTTCAGGAATGCATTGCACTATTTCTAAAGCATCTTGCAATGGGTGAGTAAGAAAAACAAGTTTCTGTTTGCTTTTCCAATACTGCCTCTGTGAAGGAGCTGAAAAAAAGTGCACTTTCAGGAGCTGAGAAGTTAATAGGATAAGAGACTGACATTTCTAATTAGCTGTAGCTTGAAATATAAAAACTTGTGCCTTAAATGTGTCATCACCTTCCAGGGATGTCACCCACCAAGGAAACAATTGCAGAGATGTGTTTAAGAATCTTTTCAGTTAGTGAAAAAAAACCAACTCATTTCATTCCAATGAAAAGTAATCACTGTTTGTTTTTTTAAATAAAACATTATGGGATACATTCCTTAAAAGTCAGTTTTGTGGTTTATTCTTGATCTAAACGCTGTGAATACAGGACAAGTATGCAGGGTAGAGCTGCTGCTAATGTTCATCTGCAGGGGCCAAGGAAAACCAGCTCAACCTGGACACTTCACCCTCGTGCTGGAGGCACAGGGAGGTTGTTTTCAGCTTTGCTGTCACCTGAAAGCTGAAATTGCATCCACACACAGCTGGGCCATGGGAGGATGGGAGGGTGAGCAAAAAAATCAGTGTTTGACTCTGGTGTTTTTATGTTGTTTTTGTGTGTATTATTATTATTATTATTATTATTTTTATTTAGGAGAGAGAATAAAGTGTTTGCAAGTTTTATTTTGGGCAGTGAAAGAATTAATATTTTGTTTGGGTAGTAGAGGGTTTTTTGATTTATTTTTTTTTAGTTGGAGCAGTTGGAGTTATGATAAAGAGTTTTTTAAGGTTATGTTGGGGGTTGTGTTAGGATTGTAGGGTTTAGTTAGTGTGCTGTTTTTTTATTAATTGATATTAAAGCAGCCACAGAAGGGGTTTTTTTGGGACCTTTTTTTGTAAGTTAATAGAACTGATTGGCAGCTGGTTCAGTTGTTGAGAGCCTAGGAAACTAATTGGAAAGGGTAGTCTAAAAGTTTTATTTTAAATTTATTATTTCCTTCTATTGTCAATAAAGTTTTTCTTTACACCCTTTAAGTTTTAGACCTGCCTTGCTTTTGCTCCTAATTCTATCTCACAACAAAAAAACAAGTATATGAAAATTGCAAAATTTAAACTATAACACTAATTAGTGTTTCCACCTAGTTCAAACTAAAACCAGCACAGTTAGAAAAGTGGTGATGAATTTTTGTTTTTATGGTTGCTTTTTTGGTATTTATATATATATATATAAAAATATATATATTTATATATATATTTTGGTGTGTATATATTTGTTGGGTTTTTTTGGTATTTGTTGTATTTAATTTTAGTTCTAGGTTGGGTTGGTTTTTTTTAATTTTGTTTAGTAAAAACTGCCCAACCTGGGATTTTTCTGCAGAAAATCACCTTGGCTGCCCCTGTGTCCACAGCTAAGCCCAGCCTAAGGAGTTATTTCCATCCAAGGAGGTCCCTGGCAGCCCAGTGCCTGGGATTCAGAGCTGCCACAAAAACAGATCCTGGCATTGCTGCCAGACACATTTTTACCAAAAAAAAAAAACCTGCTACAAAGGAGCTGGGATTATTTATCCTGTGTTTGAGTCACTGTGCAAATGGAGGCCAGCCCCAACAAGGGCTTTGAAAAGCCAGATAAAGTTCAGAGGATTTGTGTGGAGAGATTATTGTAGGTCCTGGTAACTCCTCGTTTCCCGTTTTTGTTTGGTTTGGGATTACCAGGCAGCAGCAAATGACACATTCTCTGCTTCATCCCTGCCACACTCACACTCAGATATTCTTCACCAAACGCCCAGAAAACCAGGAAAAAAAAGCAAATACATCCAATAAATGTCTCACAAAGGTATAATTTGTAAAATTTCTATATGTAATTTACAAAATCACTGTAGGACAGGGCAACAGGGATTCAGAGAGTTGTGGTCATCACATAATCCCTTTTTCTCACAAATAAGGAGAAAAACCACGTGGGGGAAATGAAATCTCCACGGAGCAGCCCTGGGAGCTACAATTTCTGGTTAAACATTGCTTTCATGGCAGAATCCAGGCCAACAGGCCTGATCTTTTTGAGCTCAAAAATAAAATTAAAAGGGTTGTGAATGGAGTGACCACACATCATACAGCAGCTGAGAGCAAAAGCTATGGGGAGCCTTAAGATCATAAAGATATATATATATATATATATATATATGAGAAGAAGAATAATATAAAGAAGTATAAAGATATAGGTGTCTGGTGCTGTGGGGATGAAGATGAATTCCCATATTGGGAATTTTAAAAAATGATTCCTCCTGTGGACAGGTCAATGCTTCTGCAGCTGTCTGGCATCTTCTGGTGATGTGCTCAAGACAGGTGAGATGGGAAATGGTTTTGGGGACATGTGCCAACTCCCCAAATACCTCTTTTCTTGCAGAAAAGCAGAGACCATGAGCTATACAAAAATCTGTAACCTCAGCCAATCCCAAATTGCCACAAGGTGCTCACTCAATAAATGAATGAGGAGCCTGCAATCAGTTTTTTAAGTTCTTCAAATGGTGAGATAACCCCAAATCCCTGCCTCCTCTTATTACAGCACCAATCTTTGCTCGTTCTGCAGCCAGTCAGCAGGCAGGAGGGAGGGGCAAAGCCGATTTAAAAGGTTTTGTGAGCGAGCACAGCTCGAGGTGCTGGCAGGAGAGGGACATGGCCACTCACCTGGAGCTGCCCACTGGTGGCAGGATGCCCATCCTGGGACTGGGCACCTGGCAGGTACCTGCTGCAGCTGGGCACTTGTGGTCAGGCAGGTGACACCAGCAGCTTGCTGAAAATCACGTGGGTTTTTTGCTTTTTGTTTGTTTGTTTGTTTGTTTGTTTGTTTGTTTGTTTGTTTGTTTGTTTGTTTGTTTTTTCAGCAGAAGTATCTCAGGTAATGTATGTGGTTTTTATTTATATTTATTTATTTATATTCCCGGTCTTCAGGAAACCTTTGGAGTGAATGGAGGTAGTCAAGTAGGTACAAGATTTTTCTTAGCTATGGGAAAAAAAATATTATATGCTACAATAATGCAGTAAAAACTTCTGCCTGGCTCATTTTTCTTTATTTGTTGCTTTTTTGCGTGTTTGTTTGTTTGTTTATTTGTTTTGGTTTGGGTTTTTTTTTTACTTTTGGCACTGGATATTAATATCCCAGCATGTCATGTAGGTGTCATCTTTGATGACTATGTGTAGACATAGGAATTTAAGGGGCAATAAGTAGATTTGGAAATGGGAATTCACAATAATTTCGTAGAGATTGAACATAATTTATTTTTATTGGCAGCAGATGAGTAGGGAGCACTTTGCAGGGATAGAGTTTGGGTGGTTCTTTACCTGCAAATGTTACCTAATGGACTTTTGATAAGAGAAAGTAGATTTAAGAATATACTGAATTATAAATGTAAAAGGAATCTGGAAATGAGCTCAAAATTTTAAGGATCTTAAGGATATCAAATAAAATTTTAAAAATAAAAATATTTTAAAAGTAGATTTTCCCCTGGATCTCAGACTGGAAACAAAATATGTCAAATCACAACTTCCCAGCTCAATCAAACACTTTTCCAGTCACCATAAAAATATCTTAAATTCTTGCCATATTTTTGGTTGCTGCTAATCAGCATTTAACTTTAGGAGCACAAATGGGAGTGAGTTTGTTTAACCCTTTCAGTCTTTATTTTTCTGATGACACAGGACACTGAGGAGCCTGAATTAGGCTTTAAAAACTAAAGTGTTCCTTTGGGGATCTCTTAGGGCACAAAGCTGTGATGGGGGAGCTCTCAGAAGGAAATTGTTAAATTGCTAGTAGTGGTTAGGACTAAGTAGAAGGAAAATTTTGGGCACACGATCCCTGCCACCACACAATAATGTCACCTGTTATGTAATGAAGACGTGGCCCAAGCCCATGGTGATTATTTCATTAAAGTAATTTGATTTCAAGGTTCCCACAGCAGCCTCAGAGTTTCAGTGCAGTGTTGGAGCCTCCCCTTTACTGAGCTCTGGCTCAGAGCCAAGCTCAGT